GAATATTTTATTAACAACCCTTGCAGTAATTTCGAGAAACAGTAGAGAGATCTCGGCGGCCGGGGGAAAATTATATAGAAGCTGCGAGAGCATTATTTTCTCAGTTGTTCTACTTGTTATTACAGCCATATGTACAGGAATTTACACTCATATACAGTTTGTCTTAAGATTCAGTGTTATGAACAAACATTCAGTGTCACAAGCATATAACACGGAAGAAAGAATTATTTAACTTTAAAGCACTTTTTTCCTGATATGTCATCGCCAATTATAAAAAGAAATGAAAGTTCTTATATTAAAAATGTAAAACATCTTTTTTCCACCAGTTATTAATTTGTGTAAACAAGTAACAATAGTAAGCAATATATGTATAAGGCATTCAACACCACTTTAGGTAAGGTTAGACAGTAAACAAACGTGAAAAACTGAACAGGTAACAAAAATATAAATTTTAATTTCCTAATTCAACATTGAACACAGTGGTACTTAAATATGGTTAACAATATGGTACAACGCACTTAAATGTGACTAACAAATTTAATGTTGTTATAATTCAGTAAAGTAAATAACAAAGAATACATTGTTGGATATAAATCAAATTTTCGTCTTTTTATATATACGGTACAAGTTCAATTCAATTCAAAGTGTTCGATAAATCGAGCTGAATACCAAAATTTAGAATTCGAAACGTAGTTAATTTCTGTCTGTGAACAGAATTTTTGATTACTTGGAAACAGAACACTCCATTTAGTTTCAAAAAATGAAGTTTAACTAGAATTACTTCATTTTTTTTTCACTTGTGAAGTTGTACTTGATGTGAAAATTTATTCCAAAACCAATTGTTTGTAAATTTTAAAGTAAAATTCACATGAAGACTGACACTGCAACAGACGAAAGTATGCCATTTTTAAATCTGACGACAGGTTAATTACACTCATGCTAAAAAAAATAAGCAACAAACGCTAAAAAAAAAAAAAAAAAAAAAAAAAAAGCCACGAATGTAAAAAAGAAGTTAACTCATTTACATATGAGGCAGAGGTTGCATCACCGAGTGCAAATAGGTAAATAAAATAAAATTAGCATAAAACGTAATCCCGCATTTACACCACGACTTCTTAAAAAAGGGCATGCTGGACGTATGCGTCAGTTCGCAAGCAGCGAACAGTTCTGTGTAATCCGAGATCGCCAAAGCGAAAAGCATGAGCCGAAGACGTTATTTGCATGATGAAATGAATTGGAGGGCTCTCAGGAAGTTGCAAGCTGGTGCAAGCCTCTCTGCTTCAGCAAGAGAGCTTAATGTGCATTGTAGCGTCATCAGTAGCTACGGAATCATTACCAAAGGAGTCAATCTCTGTATAAGTCAGGCTTGGACGCTGGAGGATTAACACAATAGCAGACAATCGCTTCCTGTTACTATGTGCAAGACGCCATGGACCACTAACAGCACGACAGCTGGCGTCGCATCTCTCTCCTGCTGCAGGACGGCCCATATCCCGCGAAACTTTGTCGCATTTACTACATAAAGATGGACTGTACGCCTGGTTTGGGTTTTTTTCTCCATCGAATGTCAAAGCGCGGCTGAACTGAACCCGTAAACATCGCAGTTGGACAGCAGAGCAATAAGGCCATGTACTCGTTAAGGATAAGTCTCGATTTAACATCCAAAACGATTCTGAAATGGCAAGAGACAGAGACACGCAATCGGCCGCCAGATATCGTCGAAAGAGACCATTACAGAGGAGAAGGCTTACTTGAACAGACTGGGATAGCAACGAATGGTCGCACCGAATTCTACGTGATTCCTGGTGAATCCGCTATAGTAATCAGATATCGAGACGAAATTCTGCACCATCTCGTGCTTCGTTTTATCGCTGCAATCGGCACCAACGCGATATTTATGAACTCTAATGTCCGCTCGCATAGAGCTCAAGTGGTGCGGAACCATCTGGAGAGTGAAACCTTTCCACATCTACCGTAGCCTGCTAGATCATCGGAATTGAATCATACAGAGCATTTGAAAGACATGTTTGAAGGACAGATAGCAGGTTGCAGTGTATCACAAAGCACCCTCCATGAGCTCCAACATGTATTACTACAGGAATGGGCGCTAGGTCCACAACAAGCGATCAACAGGCACTATTGGCTGCTTGACTCGGTGATGTCAAGCACGCCTTTCAGCTACAGTGTACCATATCCGTTATTAGCATGATTTTCCATTGCACATTCTTTCGAAAAATTTGGTATTTCGTGATATTGGTCGTTATACATATGTTTTTGTATGTATTTCCTTTATTGTTTACTATATAGTCTAGTAATGCCACACCAAACTCTTGGATCAATTTCCAGCATACGCATTATACAGTTTTTGTTTTATTCTGTGTTCTGTTTTTCTTGCTTATTTTTGAGCAGGAACAGAGAACTCTATGAAATCTTATATAGCATATAGAAAGTTGCAATCTAAAAAGCTCTTTCGCTTATGATCTTAAGAAAGAACTGTAAAAGTCTGAATATAGTGATTTTTAATAGGTATCCGTAGACTCCGAAATAAAACTGGTTATGCTAAAATATCAAATTGCTTTAAGTGTTAAAAATATTGCTCAAATGTTAAATAATTTCAAATTAGGCACAAAAAAAGCACTTATAGTGGAATAAATTTTGAACAATTGTCTACTGATTTCGTAAGTGATTGATATTTTTTCTCAGTAAAAAAAATCTTTTGCAAAGTTTTGAGGAATAACATATGGAAATAAGGCAAGATAAGACTAGCTAGCGCCCTCTATCGAGAAAAACAGCAAAAAAGGTAAGGTAAAAGTGTAAGATATTGGAATTTTGAAAGCAATCGGAAGAAATGGCTTCGAATTAAGGTCATGAACTAAAGATTAACTTTTGTAAACGTGAAAGGACTTCAAAGAAATCTATTAATTCTCCACTTGCAAAAGTCGGTACATAATTTTCGCAGACCCAAAGCTAAAATATAGGAGTGACTAAACTCTGATTGGCTATCAAAGGTTTCTTTATTTCTCCTTTTGGAATGAAGATTCATGTTTCTTGATGCGCAGTTTTAATTCTCCATCAATCTGGCTGATGTAATTAAAATCGGAGTGACAAGATATCTTATTAATAATGCAAAGTGCGCACATATGGTACAAGATCGATGACACAGATGTACAGCGACATATCGATTAATCTTGGGACTGCCATGACGAATAAAAAAATAGACGGATGACGAAAAGAAACTCCTATTACCATTAGTACCACAATAAAGTCAGACACACTAAATTCCACCCCACTAGAAGTGGGCAGTCTTTAATGAAAATCCATTTTTAGCACAGTTTAGTAAGGAAAAAATTCAACATTAGGGTTAGCAGATGGTCAATTTCGTTTACTATTACTTAGTTTGCTTACTAATATGCAAATATAATTATCAAAGTTTTGAAATACATCTAAAGTAGTCTCTAGCTACAATACGATAATTATACAATATTTCCTATTTTTTTAAAGCAAATGTAATAATGAAATATTTTAATATATTTCTTACCTACAGCAATTCTCTAAATTAACATTTATTAAAATAAGAAATGTATTTATAGGAATACATAACAAAATCATTCTTTATCTTTTCATATATTGCATAAATTAAAACAATAATGAGATACATTCCGCAGGAGAAGAAGAGGAAGAATGACCTTGCTTGTTTACATTAGCTGTACATAAGTCACATGATCTCTGAGGTCATTCGCATTGTTTGTTTACAAAAGTAATACATAAGTCACGTGATCTATGAGGTCATCGGAATGTATCTCATTACGCAGCTAAATACGGAAGGAATTTTTGCTGTTGTTGCCTCGTATATAAAAGTTTATGTAGTAAACTGTTCACAAAAAATACGGTGTTGGGTAATTTTTATAAGAAAGGATATATTTTAAGTGAAAATGAATTTACATAAAAATACAAGTAGCTAGCAACGATGACTTCTGTCATAAAGGAGGAAAAAATAACAAAAAAAAAAGCATTATATATTTTATTAAATAAGTTTGTGCATCATTTTTATGCTTCCTTTTTTTACTTCCTTTTTATGCTTCCTTTTTTGTCCTTTTATTCTCCTTTCACTTTAAAAGGACGCTGTTTTTTGCAACGTCTCTATAAATTCTTAGCCTTTCTCTAAATTTCTTTGACCTTTCTTTCTTTGCTTTGTAAAATTAAAGATTTAAATTTTATTAACAGTTTACGTTACTTTCCCATTTTTCTTGACTCTTCAAGAAACTCTCGAACCAGAACTTGAAACCAGACGTTTATGCTAATTATACGGCAAGTGGTACAGCTTAACACTAGGTTTCAATCTAAACCATTGTCTGATTGCAACTCATCCCATGATTCAGTCGTCTTTTTGTAAAATACGCTAGTTAAACAGGGACAGAATTACGAGGGCAATCCCAAAAAGAAGGTCTCCTATTTTTTGGGGACGTAGAGAAAGTTTTAATACAGTTGTTGGCAACACTGTTGTGAGTGGTGCCTTCTCCGCTACCACATAAGCACGCAGGCGCTTCGCTCGGATGCTCACTCAGTCTTGGCTTGGCAGCCATTCGAAATGGAGCTCCCGATAAACGTTACCGCCAAGTGCGAAGTGCGCGCAGTTATACAATTTTGAACGCAAAAGGCGTTAAACCGGTTGAAATTCACCGCCTATTGACAGAAGTGTATGGAAAGTCGTGCATGGATGTCAAAAACATTCGCAAGTGGTGTAGAGAGTTTACAGCCGGTCGTAATGAAATTCATGACGAAGAAAGGAGCGGGAGGCCGTCAATTGCCGACGAGACAATCGCGAAAAGTTGACTGTTGAGTTCGTATTAGTTGAGTTTCGCGATTGTTGAGTTCGTAAAATGCGTAAAGATCGGAGGATCATCTGGATGCTCCTGAAGCTTTTCAACGCTTCCTGAAGGGCATGGCGGCAAGCTGGTACGACATGGGCATTGTAAAACTGCCACAGCGTCTACAAAAATGCACCGACCGAAATGGCGATTATGTTGAAAAATAAAGCATTCTGCAATCTTTAAAGTGATGTAGCAATTATAGAAAATAAACGGTTCTTTGTATATCTAAAAATCTAAGAGACCTTTTTTTGGGGATTGTCCTCGTATTAAAGGTTGGAAGAACTTGGGAAGTCTAGTACTTTTTCTTATTTTTCTATAATTATGACATTTATGATTTAAATTTTATTTACTGATAGTTATGTTATATTCTATTCCATGTTTTTTGTCTTTTCAGGAAACTTTAGAACCGGAACTTGGAACCAGAAGATTATGCAAGTTACACTGCTGGAGGCACTGCCTAACACTAAGCTGTAATCTTAATTATAGCTCATTCCATAATTCTGCGGCCCTACTGTAAATTCCTCTAGTAAAACAGTAACCGAATTATTGAAGACTTTGCACAGCTTGGCAAGTTTAGTAGTTTTTCATATCGACCTAAGTATACTGGTATATTGTAGGCTTGCGTAGGATTCGTTGTCGTAATCCGTTATTAATTTTAGCATACCAACGAGCAGTTGTTGTTATAAGCTACGAGAATCCTTATAGCTTAGTTTATTTATATTTCTTTAGCTGCAATTCCCACAAGTCGTGGCTAATAATATTTATGCTTTTGGTCGATATGACCTTTGAGTCTATCTTGCATATTAGAAGGCAAGTAATACCAAATGCGATAACTCAACTACTGGTCAAAACTTCTGTAGTCATCTGTTAAGTTTTAGAACAAATATTCAGACATCACAGATTTTACCCATTATTGTTCATCTAATTGCATCAGATGAACAATAATGGGTAAATTCTGTAGCTTTTTAATTCCTGAAAATGCTTCTGATACAATAACATGTACATCAATCGACGTAGTTATTTTTATACTTGTATTTATTCTTTGCTATCTGTGGATTCACAATGTCCATTGGAACGTCTCAAGGACTGGTAAGTAACATAGCTCCATTGTCAAATGACTAACAAATAATCGAGTTTCCGCTGTCGTACAAGAAAATAGATTCGCCTTGCATATAAATTTCAATATACTGAGATATGTAGCTTGGAAAACAAGACTGAAATATAAACGCTTTCTAAATGTTAGAAAGTATTAAAAAAGATATCGGGTAATGGACATTGCATTGATGTAAATCCCCACATAAACCAGCTAGGGAATCTTTCCTTATTTTGTTTTCTCTGTGTTCGATTATGAACGACTGTCGTTTCTTTGTCTATCCTTACTCATTCTACTCCCGTTGTTGATGTAATATTTGTCTTCAGTTCAAATCCCTAGGAAGCAGATCCTTGCCGTTTTCTTTTAAAAAGAACGACGACTTCCCTCCGATTCAGTATGCTGTTTCAAAGCTTCACATGAGCGGTAGTCATTGGTTGTTGAACTAGGAACAGCGGACTTCGTTTCATCAATGTTTATGCTTTTGATTGCACCGTCAGAAGGTTTTCGCTTTCTCATGTTGTCTGATTCATCGTTTGGATCATTCTCTAATTCTTTCAGAACTTCAGCATAATCTGCGATAGCTTCTAAATCGGCATTTTGTAGAATTGTTGCTGTTGAATGTAGGTTAGTATCCTCATTATTTTCACTGTGACTACGCTGCGAAGTCTTCATTTTCATCGACCTTTCTCGGCTAATAGACATTTTGCGTCTGAAATAAAAGAAAGATAAACATTAATTCATCAATATATATGAAGGAAATGTGGCAGCAAAAGATGATTTCGTAATAAGCGATACAGGAGGAAATTTTATGAAATGTAGTGCATTTATTTCGTCAAATAGATATCTAATTCTCCACGATTCTCTGATGCAGTTTATTTAGGTATGGAAAAATATACAAGTTAAACGATTTTTGCTTTTTTGTTAGCAAACGAAGCTTGCTTTTTTAAACATTAAAAGAGGCATTTTGCATTAAATGACTGAAACAAGTACGTTTGAAAAATGTATTATACTTATAATAAACACACAGGATTCGAGCATTGTAGATTTGTCAGCACATAGAACAAAAAGTTTTGTTTCATGTATCCGAGTAACTGCTCATATCTTCAAAGCTGTATATGTCACATTCAAAATGAGTCAAAAGATTGCATGTCCGTTGTTAATCGTTACAGCGCTAGCAAAGGCTACCATATTGTTGAGTTTGGCTTCAAATGTCGTAGAAGGCATGTGTCTTAATAAATGTAAAACTTCTTTGAGACATTGTGTCATTTAAAATTCCTCGATCCGAAAGTACATCCAGTAGGTTGATGACAGAGAAAAAAAGATCTCAGACTCTCGTATCTAATTTCTTTTAGTATTCTCGATTAAAATTTGGAGGGAACTGAGAAAACGTTTATTGTCATAATGAGTGTGCCAAGAGCTTAACCAAGGACCTCGGCATTTTTGTCATGATAAATTCGTAAACATGATTTGCTTTAGATCAGAATGACAGTTGAAGGTTTCAAAATACTGTAATATTGTCTCACCAAGCAAATTAAAATCTTATTAGAAATTAAACGAATCTCTTTTGCAAATGTAGATGCACAATTCTATAATTTTTAGACTGTTTTTAACAAATTCTAAATGTAATTCAGTACTGTAATTTTTTAAATTGTCATACAGTTATCTGATTTGAGACGCTAATAAATAATATGAAAAGTATATTAAAATTTCTAGCATTACATTTTTTAAAAATGCAATTCATCCAAATGTCTTAGAAAAGGATTGAATCCACAATCGGAAATTAGAGCAACATCTAAATTGTTCACAAATTTATTTTCAATGTGCATGATACAGTGAAACGTTTCACGGCTACCACCTTCCGTAGATTAGTACCTTTGAAAATGCTAAGTGTGTTTGAAGATCTAAATAAATATCGAAATTTTTAACATTACTTCTCTTCAGCTATTACCTTAAATCCAAAATCATTTAGAAAAATGAATGATCGTCTTATATAGGGTTCACTGTACACAGAATTTTCTTATACCCCTACATTCTTGTGACTCTAATAGCCAGCATGTTATAACTAGCAGTTATAACTAGCAGTTATAGCCAGCATGTTATAACTAGCAGTCTGTGGTTTGAATCGCAGCAAAACCATAGCTAATTTCCCATGTTCCCTGTTCCTTAGAATCTAACAGTCTTTAAAAGTAATCTTTGTATGCATGTGGGTCTTGCTACTAAGAAATATCTTATATTATATTTTTATTAAAATATACAAACAGTTTTGATAAGCAAATTAATATTTCGATTAAATTGTTTCATTTAACGAAATTACATTTTTTCATGTAGGCATTATTTTCACAAAAACTGATGTGCAGGCAAAACATACACGTTTATGGTTAAACCATTCAGTATCACCATACAAAGGGTTAGAAAATTTGAACTGTTTGCAGCTTACCTGTTCCAGGAAAAGAATTTTTGTTTGCGGCCAAAACGTTCAGCATCAGTAATCGTCTGAGGTAAGTTTTCGTTGAGTGTCTCTGGTAAGAAGGATGCAGCAATTCCTGCTGCCAGACATATGATTCCGATAATAATAAAAGGAATAACCTTGCCATAATCAGCCTGAAAAATATCGTAATATATATTAAAATTCAATTTTATATATATATATATTATATATATATTATATAAAATCTGTTACTTTTTATCTGTTACTGTTTTTTAATGTTTACACATGTCTAATGATTTGATTTTCATATGTATTAATTTTTTTTAAAAACGTGTTGAACCTTTTGGAGCAGCAGCTCTTGGTACTTTTAGGCGAGCTACTACTATATAATATATATATATATATACTACTATATATATATTATATATATATAATAATCTAGAGATAATAATAAAAACAATACTTGTGGCTAACTAAAATAGCATTTAGCATAATAATAAAAATGTCATTATATCACAAACATCATTCTGCTCTACTACCTTTATGCCAACTTCCCGACAGCTGGAAGATTCCTTTTTTAAAAAAATTCCTTAACCTTTTTTTCTAAAGAACATATCAGGGTGATGGTTGACAACCTCTAAAGAAGTGAACTTCAGGAGGTCCATGTAATTTTGAATCGACGTGATGGAAATAAAATCAGAGGGTACGAGTTCTTTTGAGAGTTAGGACACAAAACATCCTAGATATACCTAATAGTCTTTGACTAGCATTCATGGAAATTTTAGAATGAGTATTGTCGTGACAGAAGACAACCCCCGAGAATAGAAATGCCATCGTGAAACCCCAAGAGTTTAGGTAAGAACTTTGCTATAGTTCAAAATATAATTAAAGGAAAAGTGCGAAATATGTAGAACTCTTCTGAATAACCAGGCAGTGGACGTTCTCAAAAACGACACCAAGATGAAAAGATTTATTTTGAAAAAATAATGAAACAAAATCGTCATATTTTAATCACAAAACTGATAGCTGTATTAGAACAAGAATCAGGCATTGTTAGTTGCCAACTGAACAACCAGAAAGGTATTAAATGGACGAAATTTTTACGATTTGCTCGGAAAAAGTTCTATGTGTTTGCTTTCAGTGCAAAGAAAAAGACTATCTTTTGCAAACAAGTATCAAAATCGACCTCTAAATTTCTGGAATAAGGTCATATTCAGTTATGAATCTAAATTTAATATTTTGGGAACTGAATGAATATGGCGTAAGTCAGGAACAGTTTTCCAAAGAAAAACACTTACGAGTCAAAGTAAAATATGGTAGTAACAGTATTTTTGTTTACGTGCACATATCTGCTTTTGCAAATTAACACTGATGGAAGGGTAAATGAAGAATTTTCACTACACACACATACTTAAAAGAAATCTTAAACAGAATGTTTAAAAATGGGATTGGGATATGATTTTGTATTTAAGCATGATAACGATCCGAAATGCACTGATTTGGATGCCAGGTTATGCTTTTGCGCATAAACAACGGGGATGAGCGCAGTCAATAAAGGACAGCTTCTCAGTCAAGAGATATACCTGTTATAGTGCATCTACATTTGCAAAAGAGATTCGATTAATTTCTAATAAGATCCATTGAAAAAATATTTATGTAAGGAATTGGGCAAAATTACTCCAAATTTTGCTACCCAGAAGACAAACAGCAATTAAGAAAGTAGAAGCTTTACGACCATATATCAGTTAAATTAAAAATCAAGAAATTAAGTGTAGTTATTATTTCGAATCTCATATATGAATGTTTTAGGGTATTCAATTAAAATCGAGATAACTTGGTTTTTACTTTCTTCTGCTTTCAGTGGAAATAGCGTGTTATACATTTTCTTTCTGATGCTTACTTAACACAGTTTCACACGGCTGGTACATAGAAATAAACACAAGAGAAATGGACTGTATTCCTCGCTTTTATCTTAATTACACTAATTTTAATAACGCGAAAATTGCTACAACATAGCGAGGCATTCCACACTGCTGTCATAAGAACGAAGTTCTATTCACCACTAGTTTAATTGCCAGCTGCAACAAGCATTAAAGAAAAACATTTCAAAACGATAATTCATAGTTTAATTACCTTACACTTCCGATTGGAGCGGATTGATGATTTTGTCATCAAATAAACAAACCAAACAATCTTTGATTTTTATAAGTTGCTTGCAATACCCACATGAACACCTTCATTATGTACATGAAATTATGTCCATTCATTACGTCCAGTACATGAAAATAATAATAAATAATAATAATATTCCTTTCTTCGCAGAAAACAAAGGTTTTGAAATTGTTTGACTAGTGTATGAATACTTTTGACACTGTCTTGCTGTTGTTGTTCAATAAACAAAATTTAAATTGTCTCTCTTCCTTCAACGGCTTAACTCTAACAGGTCTACGTAAAATATTTTTACTTCCCAAAATATCTTTTTTAGTAAACTTGAAACAATATAGAAGCAGACATTTGTAAAATATTATTTAGTAATGCTTAATAAACTTACCAATAAAATAATATAAGGAAGAAGAATCGTAACTATTGAAGCAACTGTGGCGCTCATTCCCATTCCCAAGGATCGTACTACTGTTGGATAGAGTTCAGAACTTTGCTGATATGTTACCATGAAAGCAGCCGCTTCCGAAGAATTTACCAATCACTGAACATACAATATCAGCGTAGGGCATATCTAGAAATGAGCATTAAACAGTGTCACAAAAATGCTACTAATAAATAATAAATAAATGGTGTTCGAAATGTAAACAATTATAATTTTAACCTACAACAAAAGGCTCAGCGCCACAAAGAGCTCATTTTTTAATTAGAAACATGTCGATGTAGAATTAACAATTAAGAAAAAAGACAACCTTATTTTGGCAACGCTTATTAAAAAATATTCTTCTCGATTTCGAGGGTGATCAAATATCCCTTAAGCTCAAAACAATATTACAAAGATTTATTTATTTTTCTTTTCTAACAAAGGATACTTGGATTCTTTGCGACGAAATTTATTTGGATTATGATGAAATTAGTATGGTCTATGTACTATGTCAAATTATATTCATAATATATGTTGTAAATTTCGGTAGAATTATGAGAATTTAAAGAAATGGCCGACGATCTTTTACTGAGAGATGAAAAAATATCCTGAAAGTAGATCTGGCTACTGCAGATCTTGGCTAGCTGGATACCCCAGAATCCTAGCGAGCAGGCTGGTTGCATGGGCGTTTTCGAGGTTTTCCCCAGGTTTCAAGAGCATACTAACCAATTTCCCTTTGAAAGCACTCCACAGGAAGTCATTCTCCCCTTAGTGAGATAGCCCTTGAATGCTTTGCGACAATCAAACAAACCAAACAGCTTTTTAAGACGATTCTGATCACTCTCAAAATCGATAGAGGATTTAAAATCTAAGCCAGTCTACGTTTTCTGTTAACTTTTTAACTCCTCCTTCGAATGCGGCCTTTTTTAATGTTTACTCTTTTTCATCATACTTTCTGTGACTCGATATCAAAATTATTTTAATTTTACGTTTTTCTATTAGAATTATGGACGTGTAAATTGATGTATTTAGTTTAGTAAGGATGGGCTGAATCCTAAATATCTCAAAATTCGAATCTTCAAAAATTTTTCAATCGTTCTAATCTTCCATATATGAATAATAATAATAAAAAGAGAGAATGAAAATCCTTTGATTAGAATCAAAATTTTTTTAAAAAGCAGTACTTGAAGCATGTGTTTAATGAAAAACAAATGCAAAAATACAGTTTTTAAAACTACATGTATATTTATTAAAAAGAAATAAAAGACAAATAATAGTTGTAATTATAAAGCAAAAGAACTTCATAATTACAAATCTTGAATCTTACTGAAGTTAATTTTCGAAACATAGTTTGGGAAGGAGGACATAATTTAAGAAAGAACTAAATTTGTTTACAATTTTTAACATTTTTTTTAAGTAAATGCAGAAAGAAGAGGAATTTTTCAAAAATTAACGAAGATGAATATTAAACTTTGAATTCTACATTATTATCCAAAAATTAAGAAATGTCCTTTAAAAGTTAAAACCCCAGAATACCTCAGTACTCAGGTGTGCTGAGTACTGAGCACAAGGTCTCCTTGAGGTGATGCTAGTCATCTACATATCGATGAAATTGAAAAGGCTTCTGTTTTCTAATGTTTCCATTAGATTTTTAAAAAAGTTAATCTTTCCAAATTTTTCAGCTAAAACTTTGAAGAGTTTTTTTAAGGATAGAATTCGAAAGGTTCAATCGGTGGGAAAAGAGTGGCAATTCAAATTTCCGAATCTCTGTATCGAGGATTCGAAAGTCCGACGCTAGATTAAAATTAAAAATTACTACTACCACCACTACCTCAGTGACGTAACAGCCCTAATGGGCCAAGGCCTGCAGTGCCCGAAAATCTGCTTTCTTGACCGTGTGCCCGAGGTGCATAAGCATATACCATGAACAAGTGGTCATCTTGGTCGCAGGACGCCAGTGTTTCCCAACGAACTTGGTACGCCTTTGAAAAACCAAGATGAAAACCAGTGACCGTGCTCATTGCTGCCCTCGACCCCGGACCTTGGTGCGCTGACGATGCGCTAAAAAATTTACTGCTATTGATCTAAGTCTGATAGCAGACATTCAGTTTAATCAACCGAATTATTTTCCAATATTATCTATCACTTTTATACCAAGCAAATTAGGTAAGGTCATGTAGGTATTTAAAGTATATGTATGTAACAGAACTGTATTGTATTCAGCAAATATGTATTAACAGAAGCATGTAAATAACTACTAATGTATATCTGCCCTTGTTTAGCCATGTACAATGCTTTTTTTTAAGATTCAATGATCGCGGCCCGGCACTTTTGGACGGGAGTCTAACCCGGTTTTGGTTCGCGAACTGCACCGGATGTCCAGGCGTTGGGTTTGGGCGCCTTGTGCGAGCCTTCCATCTGGCCTCTCTGGCTTTACTCTGGATAAGGGCGGACGTGGCTCTATATGCTAATTAACCTTAATAGTAAAGGGGTGGTGGCCACGTCCTCCGTCACTATCACTAGCTATCACTTTATGTATACCATGGCGCAGAGCTTATTAACACATTTTAAATTGGAATATTTTGCCAGCCTGATAAGAAGTAAAATAGCAGGCCAAAAATAAACTTGATAAGAAGCAAAATAGCAGACGACATTTCGTACACTCAGTCGCAACTGAGCACTGGAATGTGCATCAAAATATTAATTATGTTCATAGTTATTACGAAACAAAACCTATTACTGAATAATAATAGTATCTCAGTGTGTCAGGACTTCTGTTCCTTCTAATTGCCTTTGGAAATATCTGCAGATACTGAATGGGAGAAGAATTTTACTGAAATTTAACTGAATTTTACTGAAACTATGCTCGCGCGTGTGGAAGATACGACAAGAATGAGAAGGGTTAAATTACCCTTTATTTCTCCCAGTTTGCAGCCGTCTCCGGGATACAAAGACTAGCACTTATGGTCTAGAACGTAGAAAATAAGAAGTAAAACAAACTTAATTAAATAAAAACTAAACGTAGATACTTTACAAAGACTAGTAACGCGAAGATTGGCCTTTTATCTTCACGTATGTAGGGAGCAGAATGCAGGAAACTACAATACGTCTTTAAGCATCTACGTTTTGGCCTTAAAGGCAGATAGGAACTTACTGAAAAACACGCGCGTGGTAAAGCAGCGAGAAGTTTCCCTCTTAACTCTCTCTTTTGGTTAAAAACAATATCTTAAATACTTAACAATTTGCAAGCTCAGTTGCGTAAACAAAACTAATCGCGCTTATTCTGGCCGGAAAGGGAAAATGAGAGAGGATAGGAAAGTTTTAAAATAAAATAAACGTTAGTAAAACTTAAAACCCTTACAAGTGTTTCAGAATTTTTACTATTATGGTAATAAAATGACCCTGCTTCGACGATGTATTATGACCATTAACAAAAATAAACTACTGACGAAAATGAGGCTACTAATAAGGACCTACGGAGTTGATTGCACGTATAAGACACTTTCCATATGCGCTTGCAAAAAATCTTTGATATAACAGAAAGAAATCGGCTTGATGTGATTCCCGAAAAAATAAATATGTGAGTAATAACATCAAACTTACGCGTACTTATAAACCATACCACTTTTTCTCCCAATATCTGTATATTACCCATGATCATTTGAAAAGTATCAGTCAGCTCTTGCTACCATAAAAGTAACATGGTTAGTTGAATTTTTTCTAAATAAAGGCGAGCAACTTTTCCTTGTACTTTCACTCTAAATTTCTCTCCAAAATTATATTTATGTCATTAATGATGATGATGTCCTGTCTATGGCAAAGTGCAATTATATAGCTTTGAAGCTGAGAAAAACAGCTTTGCAACCTAATGTCATTAATGAGCATGGAAAATAATAACAAAAATATTAAGATATACGAAAAATTAATTAATAACTTCTTTTTCTTATATCTCTTCAGATATTGCATGTAAAAAATTAAAGCGTCATAAAAATCTACTTAAATAGAATTTTAAAGTAATTCCTAATTCCTTACCTATACCAGGCAACATGCAGACGATTCCAGTCAAAGAAAAAGCACCGACTGCACACCATCGCCTTCCGATACGTCCCATGAAGTACCAGCTGGCTAAGTAACCGGGAATTTCAGCCAACGCCATGAAGAAAAAGTTGAGAAATTCGTTGCCGGCTAAATTATAGACATTTATCTGTAGACCATCATAGGCACAAATATCCGCTATCCTAGATAAAATTATACGATTATAATTATTATAATTATTACGATTATCATTTTCGTTCTTTTCATTTCTCTTTTTTCACAAACGAGACATTTCAGTTTTAGTTTATAAGGATATTTTATTAATGTTAACGAATTACTGATTGTGTAAACTTTAAATTTGCGTTCCTGTTTTGAAACTATCTATCATTTAAAGAAAAATCTAACGAAATGATCTAAAATTACATAGGATTCTAGGGAAAAAGAAAGATTATTTATCTTTGACTCTTTGAGAAAATACTGGGATAACTATTTTATTTTTCGTATGACGACCAATCGCGCTTATTGTAATAGATTCTTTGGAAGAAGCATTATATGGGAGTGTAATAGCTGAGAAAGAAATTGCCTTACATTATATATTTAGATAACCTCCGCACAAAGGTTCAAGTGAAATATATCTATAAACTCTTTCTGAGGAAACATTAAAGCTATTTTAGACAATAATGTTTCTAAAGATATTTTTAAACAAATCATAATATTGCTGCATGCAAAGGGTTGTAGACAGCCCCTTAAATTCTTCATCCAAATTAAAATTAGGCTCCAAAATTAGGCATATTACATCTACAAAATATATTGTTACCAAATGTACAGACGCGGTGAGATAGCTTCCCCGGAAGGCAGGTTTAGGGTTGCCATAAAATGGCAAGGGAAGTCAGGGATGCCACATTTGGCGAGAAATCGCCCATTTGGCGATAAAATTGGCGATATACCATGGACGGATGGAGAACCTTTTGGAACGAATTCTTACCGGTTAGCCCAGAAGTTCACGAACACAAGTCGAAAAGCTATTAAACCCTGCTGATCCGCAGTCAGTGTGTGTTGCCTCTCTAGCGACTGACAGTCATTGACGATTCTCGAAGTCTAGCCCGAGTTGTCTCGAGTGCATCGCGAGTGAGTCTTAGGGCATCGTCGAGTTTTGTCTAGACTGTGCTGAGTCGAGAGCGATACTCTTGTGTATCGTCGACTGCATCTCGAGTTGTAGCGTGGAGAGTCTCGGGAGTACGTGGAAATTTGAGAAGGCAGTCTTGAGCGAGTGTCTCGGGCTATCGCCGAGTTGGTCGTGAGTGCATCGGTGAGTCTTTTAGGCATCGCAATTAGTGCATCGTCGAGTTTTGTCTTAGACTGTGCTGAGTCGAGAGCTATACTCTTGTGTATCGTCGAGTGCATCTCGAGTTGTAGCGTGGAGAGTCTCTGGAGTACGTGGAATTCTGAGAAGGACCAAGCAGACTCGAGAGCTGAACTCTAGTGCTTTGCCTTGAGGCTGTCTCCACCGTTATAGCTTGGTAACCTGAAGGCTGTGTCGCTGATTGTTCCAGCGTGTTTATAGTACTTCTCCGACGACTGTATGAAAAGTGAACTTTGGAGCTGTCCTGATTACAATTGGCTTATTAAAGTGTGTTTCGATATTCCATCAAGTGCTGTCGTCGTTATTCGCTCCAAATCCGCACGAACCCCGTAACGAACGTACATAAAGGAAAAGAAAATTACGTAACAAGTGGTGTCAGAAAAAGAAAAACGCAACAATAAGTTTTTCTTTCCTCTTGGCTCAAAAAGTGAATAAAATTTTTGTTTAATCATTTATTTGCAACTAAAATCTTGAATTCCTTAGCTATTTCTATAGGAACTGCCTGTTGTTCTGTCACTTTAGAGGAAGCTGTCGCTACTTCTACAAGGACACATAAAGAAGATGATGGAAAGAAAACTGCATGACAAAATCATGCATGACAAAATCACCAGCTTTCTGGAGTAATTTTGGAGAACGTATTATTATTTGTGGTGTTATGGGATTCATACAACATTCTAAAATAATAGAATATTACACTTAAGCGACTTCAAAGAATGTTTTTAGTAATATGTTTCTATTTCGCTTGAGGTGCAGTGGATATAAAAAGGCCAATGATGATATTTTTGCTCAACATTTCTCTACCGTGTTCGCATATTGTAAATCAATAAATTCCAAGCTACTCTCCGCCATTTCAAGATACTCTTTTTTCAAGAATAAATTAGAGTCATCTAATTTATTCGCACCTTCTGTATACGATATCTTCTGACTGCCCATCTTCTGTATAAGATAACATATGCCTTGAAAATAGAATGTCTGTATCAGGTTCTTGTTATATATCATTACTAATCATTATTATACTGGTATTCCTCCACCTGTTGAATTAAATTATATTAATGTAAATAATATAGCTCATCAAAGTTTATTATTTATTCATTTTAAGATACTGTTTTATTTGAGTGCAAGAAAAATGTCGCTGCCATGCTATGTATGATCAAAATTAAAATATATCACCATCCCATACCGCCATATCGCGGTAGATCCAAGAGAGTGACGTCACTTGCAAGTAACACGTGATCCAAGATGGCGGCTGTAAGCCAAAAGGCACTAGAACCGTGGCTTACTCTTAACAGCGTAGGATTTATATGTTACATAGCGTTGTTTCTAAAAGATGCATCAATAAAAATAAACAGTAATAATTGCAAATGCTAATCAGTAATGTGTATGCGAAAAAGTACTGAAGCCTTTGTCTCTTTTCGTTTCGTTTTTGAGAATGCTGTTATGAGGTCAATTGATAACATTGTTTCAAAGTTTGTTTTTCATACGTCAGAGCACAACCATGATGTTGGCCTTTGTTCTTGTCATCTGTATCGTAACTTATGCTCTGAGTTCTTTAGCCCAAACGGCTAATATTCACAGCTGTAAATGCAAATCATATACTACAGTATTCCCTATGCAATTCAGGTTTCTGAACCCTTAAATCTAAATTAATTTAATTACTACGATTATTTGGCAAAATATGAAACACGGTGAAAAGTGAATTATATTAATTAGAGAATTTATAGGACGATCAAAACTAAGTAAAAGCAACAGAAGCATAAATCTAAGAAAGTCTGAACAAGTTTCTTTTGTTAACGACTGAGACTGAAGAACACTAAAACACTAGAGTTAGGCTCTACAGTCACTAGAGTTCGGAGTTAGCTTCTTGAATAATAAGTTAAAACAACAAAAATTTTTCAATACCTTGTTGTAAATACTGAAAAAGAAAAAAATATTTGAAATAATTTATTTGAAAGTATTAGTATTTTCTCCCAGGAAGATTAAGAAAAGTCGAAAATTCGATATATTATGGAAGCAGTAAAATGTGAATTTCAAAATACGAAATAACCTTTCAAACATATTAGCTAAATCATTCAGATGAAGTTAAATGCTCATGAGGAAGATATGCACTATCTAGCGAGAGATTTCAGAAATTTCTTTTATTTTGATCATCAGTCTGTAACAAAATAGAATAATAGTCTAATCCCGTAGTACCGCTCTTATGTTATGGAAATATTTCCAGCTTTTAATAATAATCATATTTATTTATGCATTATATAAACTAATATCAACGTATGGGTTAAAAAATTAAACGGAATTGATAAATTATAAAATTCAATATTAAAACCCTCTGAGCGGCCAGGAATTTTGCTGAAGACATCCTAAATTTCCCAAAACTGCTATGAGAACAATTTTTTTTTTATTTTAATGTAAAAACTCTCCTGGTATTTCATACCTGGATGTGCGTGCTTCTGATATAGTGCCGTAATTTCTTTGACATATTTTAATATGCACGTATATATACGTTCTTACAGATATCACAAAAAATATTCTTGCCGCTTAGAGGGTTTAAGATTTATAAATTTCATTTTCTTAAGAGAAGAAGCATAGCTTAAGAGAAGAAGATAGAAGAAGGGACATACAAGCTCAATTTTCTTAATGTCGATTCTAGCATTTCCAATTCAAAAATGTTCCAGAATAAGAATGGAATATTTTCGAAAACAACTTCTACATCGTGGACAGGGAAGTTTTTATGTACATGAAATCTAACATTTTTATATAGATGCTGCAAGGTAAATGTTTTAGTTTGTAAAATGCTCACGACGCTTTAATGAATTAAATACAAAACGTCCTATATCATTACATGTAAAATACGGAGAAATATGCTTAATTAATACTTTCAATTAACCAAATACAAACTCAAAGACGTGGTTATTCAATCAGTATAGAAACAGATACAACTTTTATTTTTCAGTTGTACATGAATTTGATTTAAAATTTTTAATTCCAGGTCCCGGAAAAATTATCACAGTAAATTTATTTTCGAATACCTGCAAAAGTGTTCCCGCAGAAAATAGATTCGTTTCATGCTTAAGGGAACTTGTACACCTTAAAACCCATAAGAATTTCGAATATGTGACTGTTGCAAGAATCGGGATTTCGTATTTATTTTAAAAGCTATTACTTCCAACTTTTCACAGCTGACTACATAATATAGCTGCTTTTTGAAATAGTAATCAGAAAATTTGTGTTGCCACAAATATTTTTAGAATTTAATCCGCTTTGTGACAAAATGTTTCGTCATGTTTTCACCTTGTGCGCACAGCTTAAAACATTCTGTTGCATAATTTAAATCTATATTTAATATATAGCTTTTATAAAATTTGAAAACTACTGTGAACCAAATCTTCTAAGAATTTCCTGTTAAATTTTTTTTTGGGAGTTGAGTTTATAAAATGTATTTTAGTAACAACATCTGTAATGTTTTAGTGCATAAAGCTTTTTAATATTAAAATATTCATCAGATTTTTGGTTCAGTTAGAAAATAGTGCCCATATAAATAATTCCATCCATTCAGTACTATCTTCGCCATTTTTAAAATATCATGCGCGCAAGGTGAAAACATAGGAAACATTTTGTCACAAAGCGGACTAAATTAAAAAAATATTTGTGGCAACACAAACTTTCTGGTTACTAGTTCCCTAAGGAGACGTATTATGTAGTCAGCTGTAAAACGTTGGAAGTAATTGCTTGTAAAATAAATAAAATATCCAAATTCTTGCAACAGTCACGTATTCTAAAATCATAATAAGGGGTTTAAGGTGTATCAACCCCCTTAAATTAAGACATTATAAAATGTTTACTCATAACACTTTTCTCTCCATTTCAAGTAAAATTTAGGTTTTCTACTAAAGTCATTATCTATTTAAGAAATATTATAATTAAAAATGCACAATGTATCGTACATCTCGTAACTTAATATGTAGAAAAGAAAACCCGCTTTCGTTTTCAAAGAAATTATATAAATACATGGTAAAATATTTTTAAGTAAATGCATACATATGAATTGAATTAAATGAAACTAAATGAATAATTTACAGAATTTGATACCATTTGCATTATTTGCTTACAGTGAAATCGTACTTACCAACATAAAGTTATGATTAAAAATTTTTTGCGTAGCTGGGATATTTGAGAAGATCCAATGACGAGGATTCTTGTACAGTTTTGTCTGCTTTCAATTTCTCTCCTAATTTCTAAATAAAATATTAAAGCCGTATTTAATACAATAACAGAAAATTTCCTCTAAAAACTTAATGCACATTGAATCTTTTGTTATGTAATACTAGAAAGCCCGGCGGTCATATAGAAAACCCCCGGTTTCTATATTATAAATTGTAATTAAAATGATTTGGGTGCAAAGGGTCTTCCGTATTCAACTGAATTTCCCAGGGCAGCGGCGAGGAACCCCTTTGCTCACTGCCACAAGGGGTTTTCCCACTTTACTTGCTTAATGCTTAAAAAGAGTGCAATGAAGGAAACCACTGGCGGTACATTTCTTAGGAGCTACCGCTAGCTCCATAAATAGGTGATGTAAATAAAAATGTTAATTCAAATGTTAAATCTCTTGTACACCAATTTCTTGTCTAGATCTTTCCATTATTTTTAAAGCTCGCTTTGCAGAGGACCTCCATTATTTTTTAATTTACGTGTGTTCTTTCACGAACTCGAACGGCGACTAAAGTTGACCGTGTCCAAATACAGCTCATGTAAAAAATGCCAACACGCTTAAGCGTTTGGCCCGAGACATATGGATGTCAAGCAAAGCAAGTTTTACATGAAATTGTCTACGTCTCTATTCAACGGCACCAGTGCCGTGGCGACTTCAGCCCATGGCGAGGACAGTTACGCAAGCAACCCATAAACTATCGGCGCAAACAACACTAACCCATATAATAAAGATTATATTATTTTTTTCATTTTAATTGGGGCTTTCATATGCCGGCTTTCCGGTTGCATATTCCTATTCTATTATATTAAGTTAAATTTATTTAAATGTTAAATGCACGGCTCTTGTATTTTTAATTTTTCCGGCTTAGGTTCTCATAGTATAGTCCCGGCTGCACTGCACGGGTAATAAAACAATTACAGTTACGCAGTACCATAACCTATGACGAACAACACTTAAGCCGCATATATATAAGATTATACGTAATAACAGGAATATAATCTTTTTTTCTTTTTATGGTTATATTTTTCTATATTGTTATATTGTTATTGTTATATATTGTTATAGTGATTTTATATTCTTACGTTCTTTCTGCATGAAAACATAACAGACTTTTTTAGTAAAATTAATTTTATAAACTCAACCCCCCCCCCAAAAATAAAATTTAACATGAAATTCTTAGAATTTTTGGTTCGCAGTCGTTTCCAAATGTTATAAAAGCTACATATTTTATATGGGATTAAATTATGCAACAGAATGTTTTAAACTGTGTGCGCAAGGCGGAACACGCAACATTTTGTCACAAACGGATTATTATAAAAAATTTTGTGGCCAAGCAACTTTCTGATTACTATTCAGAAAGCAGCTATATAATGTAGTCCGCTGTAAAGTTGGAAGGAATTGCTTTTAAAATAAATAAGTTATCCCATTTTGCAATTACATATCAAAATATGGTGGGTTTTAAGGCGTATGAGCCTCTTAAATTCATAATGTGTTGCATTGAATTTAACTTATAATATGTCAAGCTATTGTTAATTACCTACGATGAGAAGAATGAATATAAGTAATATAATTATGCTAATCGTATATTTTTAAATTATATAAAAATTGTCCCCCCAATTTAAAATTGACTATTCAACAACTATGTAACCATCTTCAGTGAAAAGTGCATGATATTTGTGGACTCATTTTTATTTTGTGGACTTCCTGACATCAATAAATTTTCATAAAAATTTCATTGTGAAAGGACTTTAAAATAAAAAGTTCAATGGACATTTTGAAGACACTTGGAATTTTATGATTATAATTTGTAATTTAATATTATTACACTTATTATTATCTTATAATTCTAAATAGGATGTTTATTTATAAATTATATGTTTATTTATTAATCATGGGTTCTGTTGTAAAAAGTATATAATTAAGCAATTTCTAACTATATGAAAGATCATAATATGATAGGGATAGTTAAAGCCTGTAAGCTGTGGAAGCCCAAATTTGAATTGGAATTTGTTTTTATTATTGAGTTCCTATTTTGTAAAATTTACCGATTTTTAGTACAAACTCACGATTTAAAAGTGAGCAATAGCAAACTCTACGGCAGGGAAAAACCTTTTTTCTCTCCCGTCGAGGAACTGGTGTATCGGAAGTTCAAGATAACCATTTTAAATTATTTTGCGACATTGCTTATTGACTGAAATTTATGGTTTAATGCGAAGAACATGATATTTAATAAATAAAGGTAACACACAAAACGTTAAAAAAACGCCCCTTTGGACGTAATTTAAAATCTGAAACCTTCCAGATTTTTTTCGGGGAAGCTTGTAATTTTTTTTATTTTAATTTTAATTTTAATATCAATATATGTCCATATTTCTTTAAATTTTTAAAATTGAATTAATTTCATATGGAATCATTTTGTGCATTTTTATTTCATATGAATTGAGAGCTGTTGCGTCGGGGCGGCGTTCAGAACTTTCGGATGAACTATTATAATTAAATCATTTAAGACGGCTCATTAGCTAATTTTGGATGAACAGAAACGCGATGGTCTTTCTGAGGGAAGAGATTCAATTGAATTTGGTCTACCTCCTCTTTATAACGTTGAATCAGATTTTGATTATATTCTTCCTCCTAATTTTTTATATATTTATATTGTTTTCAACATCATTTTCGGTTTGAAAACAAGTAGTTTATTTTTTTATTAGCAAATTTTGGGATTTTTCTGGTTTTAATTTTATTTTTTTCATGTCTTTGCGAATTAAGTTCTAAATTTCTTCCTCTTTTGTCTCTCCCTCCCTGTGTATATACTTTCATAAAGACATCACAAAAATCTTCTAGGTTTTATATATACGGCGATTCCGGTCATACAGGTTTAAAGGACATCAGAAAAATAGCCAACAGCATGTGTTGGAAACTGTAATACCTAAACAAGCTTAACGCGGAATTTACAAGAAAGCAGCCAATAATTGCGCAAACTTCACTGCACTTGTAAAGTATGAAATCTTAATGGACGATTTTTCATTCTTCCGTACTCTGCACATCTTCTATGACAAGAAGGACCTCGTATGTTGTCTGGATTGGACACTGCCACTTGGAAGCTGACGCTATTCTCAAATTGGGAATACATGTCTGCCCCCGTCTGCCTGGATTTTCCTCTAGAGTTATAGATGGCATATTTCATGTATCATACCATCTCAAGTTTCGTAAGGACTCTGTATTTGCTCTAGAAGGTACTGCTCAAGAAGTAAAGCCCCAAAAGAACAATGCAGAATCGAATCGCAATATCGCAGTATTGCGGTAAGGTGAGAGAACCGTTTACAGAACTGCCTTGCAATCAGTAATGATTATTCTGAAGACATTTTAGCAAAAATCTAGAATAAAAACACTTGAAATAAATCGCATTTGTTGAATACTCGTACATAATACAATAATATATTGATGACTTATAGAAGAATTTCTATGGAAACACGAAGGCCCAGCTTCAGATGATTTGGTATAACACGTACTTAAAACTAATTGCAGCAAAAGAAAATGTGTCTTTACAGTTTTGAAACAGGACGTACGAAGCTTTATGGGTTATTACCTCTATTTTCTGTGAAAGAACTTTTGGATCATGAGGTTTTCCATTTTTTTCCGCAACTTTTGTCATGATCACCAGTGCTTCATCATATTTTCCCTGGGAGACGAGCCAACGAGGAGATTCTGGAAGCATTCTGAAAATGATTAAACCAAAGACGTTATCATATTATAATACATTTTTCTTAAATGAAATGTAAAATAACTCAACTTAGAATAACTATTTAAATTGACAGTTAAAATCATTTACAATATTAATTTGCAAAGGATATGATTTGTTAAGAGTTCATAACAACACTGGGAGATTTAAGAAAGAAATACAGAACAAACGAGTCAAAACAGAGAAAGGAAAAGAATAACGTAAATTAGACTCACTTCCAATAAAGTAAATACACAAGAGTCACTGATGAAGTGATAAGTCCTAACGTAACCCAGCTTCGGGCTAAATAAGCGATTAAAGGCAAAAAACAAAGGCCTACTGTCCATGCAATATTTGTGATGCCATTCATATGAGTTCTCACCTCGGGTGCCACAATTTCCAAAACTGAAAGAAGGAATTACAGTTAGGATTTCTAAAACCTGGATATGTAAAATACATATCAGTATACACACTGTTCAACAAATTATTCAAGCAGAAAAATACATACTTCTATAGGTATTGGAAAACATTTTATTTATAATAAAATTGGTCATATAATTTAGTAAAACAGGAAGATTTTGAGCAATTGTTAGATCGGATTATTAATGCGCATAGTTTTATACATATTTGCTCACTCTTATACCGCACTCTTGTCCCCTTGTATGAAACGTTTTAGTATATTTTGCTACTAGTATACATAATTTTTTAAATGCAGTTAATTAAAATTTACTTAATTTTATATCATTTTGAAGTAATTAAGCTAAAAAAGGAAAATGTGTATTTGCTTTTACTAATTCAATCGTATTAGAATTTGGATGATCTTTCCCTTATTAGCTAAACATTAAACAAATATTAGTCTTCAAATTTATGAAATGGATGAGTGTGAGGATTCTTGCGTAGCTCTTCTAGTATACTTGGTTATATACTTATAAGAAGCATTATAGTCATAGCTCTTCAAATCCTTCTTTTGTTCCTTAGACCAAAAAGCGAAGTTCATAGATTATTTATTTTTATTAAAATAGTACTCGATTATACACCATTATCCTTCATGCATCAAAAATGCATGAGATTGGAGCATGAAAAAAATTCAAAAATAAAATTACAAAAAGATAAAACAGTAATTAACCTCATTACAATAACAATAACTACATCGAAACTGGAAAATTGCGTAACATATTACTACATTAAGCGTTAAATTTAGCCGCTCCATCAACTCTCAACTCGCCGATATCGACTGTATAGTTTTCTTACTTCAACGAGGAACATTTTAACAAACGATCTCAGTCCACCTGAAAATTCTGGTAGCACAAAGTGCACAAGGGACTGTTATATATATAAATGCAATGCAGATGTTGAGCGAGGCAATCATGACCGGTCTCCAAACGAAATGCCGCAACTGCGATGGATCTGGGAGATTACAAGTCGAGACCCTCCAGTACTTATTCTTAATTTCTTCAAAATTAAATTTTTTCCTCACAGCATTTACTATTCTTTTCACAAATGCAAATAGTACCTCATTATTATTTGATTGCAAAATTTCAGTTCCATTTTTTAGCTTCCTTTTTTATCAGCCCGTTCATTACCAGTTATTCCAATGTGAACCAGGATCCACTGTAAGACAACAGCCATCGCTTTTAAGGGTAAAAGATAAACAGTTTTTCTGCAAGATTCAATAATTTTTGATTCCACAATATTATGTAGAAATCGGTTAAATGGCTGAAAGGGAGTCTGAAAGAAGAAAAATATTTCTTTATTCGGATAAATTCTAACAATAATTTATTCAAATTACAACTCTAATTGTCTCTATTTTACCATTGAAATTGGTTCGAAATGTACCAAGAGAAGAATAGAATTCAAACATCTCTGAACAGACACCAACCCAAAATTCACGAGCATTTTCGATCCATCAATATATATGTAAAGCCAATTAGTGTTTAGACACCTGGAGTAAATTGTCTCCATGGCAGCTCCTTTTAGTTAGCCATCCATTTATGATAACTCTGTTTTAGCATTTATCAAATAACATTCAATTTTAATAGGTTCTAGGTGGATAAGTCTTGTTGGTTTTAATTGTTCGTTTCTTGGAACATCCAGTAGGGAGTGGTCTAATTTCAGTTTTAAACATTTCTGCAAAAATCCATCCTGATTCTTCAGTCTTCTGGATCTAGAGATATCGTAATTTTGGAATGGCTCTGTCGATGACAATCTGATTAATTTCTTATAGAGTATTTAAGTTCTCTTCTGAACAGTTACTCATAAATAAGATAACTGGTAGTAATCTACATAAAGTATCAGCTTTGGAGGGAAGGACGTGACAGATCATTGCCATGTGGAACTTCCAAATTCTTAAATTCTCAGTTATGCACGCAGATAATTTGATTTTGAAATTTTTATCTTTTCTCGAATTCGAGGAGGACCGTCAGGGCAGACTTCGAGGAGCACTTGTGAGTCCTGAACCACAGACTGGGAAACACTGCTTCCTGATGTGGACAGGTTTAAAATTCCAGGAGGACCATCAGGGCAGACATCGAGGAACACTTGTGTGTCCTGAACCACAGACTGAGAAACACTGCTTCCTCATGTAGACAGGTTTAAAATAGGAAGGTTTTCTATTTTAAATCTGCCCATATCATTAATTATCATAATTTCTTTAACTACTTAGCTATTTCTTTATTTCTCGGTCTATTCCTTATAAAAATTCATTAATAATTATTGAGTAGATTTTAGCTAGTCTTAAAACTGCCAATTATACATAGGAAAGTAGCACGGCCATTTCAATATTAAGATAGGATCCACTAAGCCCCAACATTTTCAGCCAAATAGAAACCAGTTTTGTAAACAAATCCTATACATTACTATGAAGATTAACGAGGTCGAGTAGCTGTCCATTAACAAATTCATTTTTCCACCGGCATTCAGCTTTTTAAGTTAGGATGTCGATCTAATAATTATCGTACAAAACGTTTTTCTAACTTTCGTAGTTCTTCTAAAGGATCATTTAATGTAAATATAGTAAATCACTCTAATAGATTAACTCTGACTAGCTAAAACTGGCATTAAAAATATTTTTGAAAATTTCAGATTGGCTATTTTGATGCTAAATGGGCCGGCTGCAGTGTTATTCTTAATACATTTTTGATTCCATTTTTGTTTTTAAAGTATCTATAAATGCTACATCGAATAATATACAATTTTTATTATTTTATAAAACTCATGCTTACCTATTATATATGGTAGCTGAAACACAGAAGGCATGAGGCTCCCATTGATAGTTTTAAAGACAATGAAGGCTGTGAAATTTTTCATTAAAACTGAGCCTATCGCAGACACAGCTGTTACAAGAATAGTTATGAAAAACGTGATTTTTCGACCAATCCTGAAAAGAAAATAGAAACCCCACCTTACATTTTGTACAAGAAGTGCATTTAAAGCTACGAGTAATGTCATTAAAATATTAGTTTACTACATTATTACTCGCAGAAATTCTACAAAATGCCATTCTATGATGGAAATCATCGAGGACTAATTGAAGACTATTAAAAAATACTCCTTACTTCATAAACATCACCTAAACGACTCCAAAATCGTTTAAGAAGTGCATAAACACCCTTGTATAATATAATATAATATAAACTGATCAATACGTTTCACTACAATCTCCATAGATACTCTTTTAACTTATTCTATTAACATACGAGACCTTTTTCTAAGCTGAAATTTCAATTTTATTTGCATGCATTTGCGAACGCCCCCCCCCGAATATGATCTCTAACTTCCAAATTAAAGATTTCGGTCAGACTTTGTCGTAGCAGAATTAAGTAATGTTTGCAAGACTGAAATTTTATATCTAAAAATACCAAAGCTTGAATATTTCTGCCATTGAAGACAATTTTGTATATGGAGGCACATTCATGGTTACGATCACATGTAGTAAGAATAAAAGTGGCATAAGAGCTTTTATGAGTTTTAGTTTATAAGGTAGTATTTCTCCCGCCTTCTTAGCGGTGCCTTCGTTGTGTAGTGGTCTGCACGCTTGGCCGATATTCCAGACGTTCGCGGTTCGATTCATCTTTCTTGCTTTCAAAATACCTAATGTCTCCACAGTGCACTAATATATCCAGTGCACCTATTAATGTATCGAATGCACCTTTTATATAACGTATGTATTAATGTAATGTAGGTGCGCCTGTATTATTTATGTATATAGTTATAAGCTGCGTAATGTGCACTGGTACAGTTTTGCAATATGTCTGTAAAGTTTAGCAAATTTTATTATAGTATGTATTAATATATCGAGTGTACTATTAATGTATAATGTATTATGTAATTATATTGATATATCGAATGCACCGTTCATGTTATGTATGTATCAATGTAATGGACGTGTGTATGTGTTATTAATGTATAATGTATATAGCTATAAGATGCGTAATGCGCATTGGTATTGCTCGCCAAAATGTCTGTAGAGTTTAGGTACTTTTTTTTTTATTGTATGGCTTAAATCGAGTGCACTATTAATGTATAGTGTATCAATATATCGAAGGCACCTTTTATGTTATCTGTGTATTAATGTATTGTATGCAAGTAATATTAATGTATAATATATATATAGCTATAGGTATTGTATAATATATTTAGCAATGCGCATTGATACCGCTCTGCAATGTCTGTAGAGTTGAGAAAATTTTATTATTATACGTATTAATTTATCGTCTATGCATCGACTATTGTAATAGTGCACTGTATAATGTAATACGGTGAACTACTATTGTGGTAATTCAACATAGTAACAGCACTTTTTGATGTAAGTATCTTTTTATTGTGTAATAAGCACTGTTGTTGTAGGAATCTGCCATACCCCTGTTTTCCTCCATCTGACCCTGTTTGCAATATTCTTTTTCTGGACAGTTGCGGGATTCGGACGATACCCGAATAGTCATTGAAAGCCGCCCAGGTATCCGACCCCTGCTCTCACCTGTCACCTGTCTCTACAGTGACGCCTGATCTAAAAGGGGTGTTGGATGATGATTCTCCTCACCAAGGATTTGGCGATTGGGTCCCCTAAAAACCCCGGTCGCCCTTTAAAAGGAGTGTATATAAGGTATTTCTCCCGCCTTCATTCGTCTCCCCGCGAGGGCGCTACATATTTTTCATCTCTCCTGCTTCCAAAATACCTAATATCTCTACAGGTTTATATAATGCTTTGTTCCTCACTTTTGTAGTAACATATATATTACATATCAGTAAGAGGGAAAATATATTTGTTTTTATAAATAATGATATTTTTACATATATGAAGCATTATTGTTGAAGTCTTACCTATCAGATAAAGCTCCATACATTGGGGTTCCAAGAATGCTTCCCACATAAAACATTGTTTGGATGAATTTTGTGTAATGATAATCACTGCATACTAGATCCCACTAATAACAAGGAAGAAGAAGAAAAATCTCTTAATTGCAATTGAATAATAACTTTTAAATGCGTATGAAATAGGAAATGACATTGCTATGATTAATTACATTTCAAGTATGCTATATTTAATTATATTTCTAATACTTACTTTCTAAGTAAAATTTATTTTTTTATCCATTACACGATACTATTTCAAAGTGTTCAAAGGCAAACTTATACAAAATGTAAAACATCGTTATAAGCGATATCCAAAACTTAAAAATATATATATCAAGCATAGCATTGCAAAAATAAATAAAATATGAGTAAAATAAACATCTGGTAGTGTTTTCTAAGATGATCATTTTTATCTAATTATAACAGCTTCTAACAAATTGCGTAGAACTTCCAATTTTTGTTTTCACTTTTTTCAACCTCTCTGCTATAAAATAAAGAATTATATGCCATCTAAACTTTCGTTGCAAATCCGAGAGAAGGATAGGTTCAAAGATATACAATTCGGAACATATGATTTCTGAATGATAAAGGTGTGCAACTCGACCGGATGATTTCCAAAACTTGAGCTCGATGTTTTCTTTATCTCAGCGTCATAGCCGAAAAATTCCGTACGGAAAGCTGTCTTCTATATTCATTATACATGAAAATTTCTGCTAGCTTTTAAATGTATCTGATATCGGTTTGGATGTATATTGGAAGAAAAGGAATCAAGGTACCAAGAAAATATCACTTATTCATGACATTTTTAGGAACTTTGAAATTTCAGGACTAAACCCGTAACGCTCAGAGGGTGTTAACAAAGATTTTTTTCTGTTAATTTTCTCACGTGTCCTTGCTTTACCAGCATACTTAAAATTTTCCTATGCCACTGTTTGAACCATCGTGTAAAGTGGGAAAAAATATCTCTTAAACAGTGTTGATAGAAAACTCTTAGTTTCAGTAATTCTAATTTTCAGAAATATTTTAATTAACATTTCACATTTGTTATTTAAAATTCTAATATTAAATTATGGATGGGTTAAAAAGTTTTGCACATTTCTCAGGCTGTAATTTTTCCTCTTTTATAATGATAGAGATAAAAGCCAAATTTTTAAAATTTGTTAAATATGCTGTAGTGTGGCTTTAAGTAAAAAGAAGATTACCCGTTCTTCAATGGGCATTGTGTGACCTTCTTTAAAAACATGGTTTCGAGGCTATTGTATTGTAATTCGATACACTACTTCCCACTAAAACTTCTAAAATTTTAATTTAATTAATTTATTATATACTTTCTTTGTTGCTAGACAGAATTATTTTCATATTTTCCCAAAAAAAAAAAAAAAAAAAAAAAGTAGACTTATTCCAAGAGCCTTCTGCCCCTTTTGCAAATCATTTTTCTCATTATTTGTTTATTTATTTATTTTTAAGGAAGATTTTGCATTCAATTTTCATTTAATTTTATAAATATAAATATCCCTTTCAAATTTTTGATACGAAACAATAGAGTTTAAGGTTTGACTGGCGTTCAAATTTACTTTCAATGAAATCTGCCGTACGATTTATAATTAATTCCTTGTACGAAGTAAAGGACGCATTGTAATCTTGAGCAAAATTTCGGCATCACATTTCAAAGAAAATATCTCTTTCGACCGCCATCGAACAACTCTTTAAGCTTTTGCTTGACGTCTGTACGTACGGACAGAATAAAGGATTCTTTTCCACAAAATGGATTCAGAAGAGATATCTTCGTGACGTCAGTACGTGTACGTGCGTATGTATGTATCTCGCATAGCTCAAAAGCTAAATAAATGTTTTTCGTAGAAATAAATTTCTATGCATATTTGACTGTGAATGCGTCTTAAAATCCAACGGACATGTCTGAACTATCTTCTTGAAAGTATATTTAAATTACTTGATAAAATGATAAGAGATTTTTTAAACAGTTAATCGATTATATATTGGCCTTTAAATGTTCTCCCTCAACAATTCGATGATCTGATTTTTGAATGATATGAGTTAAATCTCATTTGGAGGAAATACTGAAATTTCTAGCAGCGCCCTCGTAAACCAGCCATCACACCTCAAGGTGCTGTCACGCAATTTCTGAGAACCACTGAATAATATTAAAACTCTACTGTATATAGTTAAGAGGTTTACGAAAAGAAAAATGCTGAACTAACTGATTATGACTGACAGAACTAATTTTCTGATATCATTAAAAGATAAATTTAATTGATGACGTCATGTTTGCGTGACGCTGGAGTTTCAGCTGTTGCTGGAATATGAAGTAATCATTGTGAATAAAGTATATGCGAGACAAGAAATGAAGCAGCTAGGTCAATAGAAAATCGTGGAAGAAGACTTATTTTCCCTGCTGATTACTATTCTTTTCTTTAACGAAAGGTCAAGATATGCATTTTGTGTGCCATAGAAAAGTTTTGATACACTAGGGCACTACAGTCGAAATTTTGAAACTATAATATGTGTCTGAAATTAAATAAAATTTTATTTTTTAAAAAAATCTCAGAACACATTTGCATTTATAAAATTTAGGATTCTCTTTTGGGAATGTTATGCAACAGATATCTTCCTGCAAAGTATGGATTGTTAGTCTCAACTCTCATCTTTTAGAATTGCAGTCTAATTAATCTCTAGATCTTTTGCCTTCCCTTATCCTTTAATGTACAGTAGTTTTTATTATGAAAAATGTTTGAGAAATAAACAAATTATAAAATTTAGAAATGATCTCATTAATTATGGAATCTAGTTTATTAAACTGCAAGAATATTAAGTGAACGTAATCTAACCGAGGATATATTCTAAGCCAACATACAAAACACATAAACTATACCTCAATTTTAAGTAACTGACAACAGAGCGATATACATACTGTAACAGCTTTAAATAATATTAAAATCTTATAGTTTAAATAATTTAAATAGATGAACGTTAAGGTATTTGTGAATGGCAATATTTGAAACCAGACTCGAGTGCCTCGTGCGACTCTCGCACGAAGAATGTAATTTATTTTTAAATGATAGAATATGTTTTCTCTTCTTGTTTGTATGTCGCCATTTTTTTGAGTGTTAAATAAAAGTTATTGCTGTGTTCCATCATTGGAGTTGCTTCATTTCGCCAAAGAAGTATCACAGTCTTAATTATTTTCGAGGCACTGACCGAGATCGAATAATCGTGCGTATTTTTATTTCATTAGTTCATCACTGAACATAATATTAGTGATACCAGATTATTACTTCCTGTTAATATTGAATTGCTTTATTTTATTAGTTCATCACTGAACGCAATATTAGTGATACCAGGTTATTACTTCCTGTTGATATTGAATTGCCTTATTTTATTAGTTCATCACTGAACGTTATATTAGTGATACCAGATTATTACTTCCTGTTGATATTGAATTGCCTTATTTTATTAGTTCATCACTGAACGTTATATTAGTGATACCAGATTATTACTTCCTGTTGATATTAAATTGCCTTATTTTATTAGTTCATCACTGAACGTAACTTCCTGTTGATATTGAATTGCCTTATTTTATTAGTTCATCACTGAACATAATATTAGTGATACCAGGTTATTACTTCCTGTTAACACTGAACTGCCTTATTTTATTAGTTTATCATTTGAACGTAAACTTAGTGATACCATTTTAATGCCATTTCTACTAGAGCTCAAAGGAAAAGAAAAATAGCTGAAGAGCAGATCTTGGAACCGATGAAGGAAGAAAATAAAGCATCCAGAGATGTATTTGAAGAAGAAGCTAAATCACCGGAATTAAACGTGGAAGATTTCACGAAAATTTGAAAAACGATAAAGGAATTAATATTGAGAATCATTTTGAAATGCAGCGTTATCATCATCTTTCGGCTTTTGATTTAATATCAAAGCCGCTACTAATAGACGAAGAAAACAATTGTCGAAAGCAAATGACAAATGAATATTATCCGAAAGGCACAGATGAACTGAGGAAAGGCATTGTTGTGAATTATAGCCGAAGAACTGATCTAACATGGAAGAGATCTAGGCACCGTCAAAAAAAAAAAAAAAAAAAAAAAAATGAAGACTAATTTGAACACTGTCCATTTTCTTCCTATTTAAATGTGGTGTAAAAATATTTGTTTAAAACTTAAAAATTTTGACCTGAAAATTTGGAAACCTTTGAGAGAAGTTATCTTTTCTCTTTAAGCAATTGAGCAAGCCGAGCTTATAAACTTTCGAATTTTACAGAAATTTTCCCTTCGGTAAACGTCTCTCCGTTGGGGGAGAGGTTGTAACAGCTTTAAATAATATTAAAATCTTATAGTTTAAATAATTTAAGTAGATGAACATTAAGGTATTTGTGAATGGCAATATTTGAAACCAGACTCGAGTGCCTCGTGCGACTCTCGCACGAAGAATGTAATTTATTTTTAAATGATAGAATATGTTTTCTCTTCTTGTTTGTATGTCGCCATTTTTTTGAGTGTTAAATAAAAGTTATTGCTGTGTTCCATCATTGGAGTTGCTTCATTTCGCCAAAGAAGTATCACAATACATAGCAAATATTCAGATTCAACAAGGAGACCGAAACAAAGAAAAGTGGTAGGGAGGTATGATGCGGGCATCCATGGCATCAGGGTTTTAAGGAATTGAAGATGTAGATAATCCTAAACATGAGTGTGTTACTTGCATTGAAATTATTGCAAATGAAAGCTTGCGCCTCAGTAAGCTACGTCTACCCTTTAAGACAAAGCAAACCGATTTAAAAAAATGAACCCTTCGATTTTTTACAAACGAAGGCCATAGCTGCTGAAAATGTTTCAAACATTTTTTTTTCATTTCACCAAGATCAATCAAAACTCAATTCAAGCTTCATATCCGATTAGTTATTGAATTGCAAAAACTGATAGGACACGCCCAATTGGCGAAACGTTAGTACTCCCAGAGATAAATGGTACAGTTATGTTATTTTTAGTTTGAGAAATATGAGTTGAACTTATTTGAGATTATTATCAACTTTTATTGAATTTAT